AACCCATTTTATTCCTTTTTTTCAATTTAAGAATTATTTTTAAGTTTAAAAACAGCCAGAATGGTTGTTTAGTCAAAAATAATAATAATCCAAATCATATATAGTGCTATACTGCCCTCTTGTGTTCAAAATCAGGTAGGCCTATTGAATTTATATATATTTATATATTAGGGATGTTACTATGGGAATATTTTCCCACCGGTTAATCAACGTGTGATTGTGTAAACCAATTGTGTAAACCTCCCGCTGGGGGGTTTAAAAACACTAACTTGAAAGCGAAAGTATAATATGGACGTCCGCACGGACATTGAAATGGTGGCGCTCGAATGAATTCCTATGGAAGTAGAAATTAACTAAACGTTCGCTCTGTTCTGCTCGCTCGTCGCCATGGACGCGCACCATTATGAATGCCAGTGCAGCCGCATACTTTTTAGTGTCACTAAAATTAGTGCAATTTCGGGGGCCGATTGCTTGAATTGTGAGTTCAATAGTCTATTATTTTTCACGGAAAACACAACAATAAAAGAGTACAATGACAGATTCGCTTAAATAGGCGTTTTTACATAAAATAGCCTATTCCGTCATCATCTTTTCAGTCAGCTCTTCACTCTCGTGATGAATGAAATTTGACTCCTGTTGCTGATATTTGCTGCAACTTTCGTTCAGCTCACAATTTAGTAAGCAAACACATTTCAAATGTGTTTTTATTTTATTTTTGTGTATGTCTGTGTATATGTATGTATATATATAAATATAGCTTATGTTTCAAATATGAGTTAATTAACAATCGTTGGAAAGAATGATACTTTTAAACATAACACTAAACCGTCATTAGGTGTCGCCAGGCGACCGTCTTAATGAGCGAGTCATTGATTCATTCGTTTGAACGACTGAGTCATTCATGAATGAGATAGATGTTTATGGATTGATTGGTCATTGAATCTTTGAGTCAACCGATTCGTTCAAAATGCTGAATCATTCAGTAATGAGAACGCGTTGCTGTGAGATGCGCGATGGTTCTGCTGTGATCTTTGTTTAACTATTTTCGCTGCTGAAACAGAAAAAAAGTCAATATTGCATGTAAAATGTAAGTGATTTGACTTGTGTGTGTGTGTGATTGTGTGTGTGATTGTGTCTGTTACAGTGATAAGAGTTTAACCCTTGTTAAACTTTAGGCCTTGTCTTTTTGGATATATATCTTTTTATATTAAAAAATAGTCATACAACCCATATATTTTAAATGTATTGTTTGCTTTAAATTACATTAAGATTGTATGTTTGGTAATTGAACCTGAATGAATTTTAAATGAATGTGCTATATTTCAGATCATATATTTGTTTTCCTTAAAATTTGAACTAACACTAACTTTATTCTCATCTGAATGATAGATTATTTATTTCTGTATAAAATAAAAACACATTTGATTTTTCTTTTTTAATCAATGTAGAATGTGTAACTGAAAAAATAAACAGATTAGGGCTCTGTTTGATGACAAGAAATGAAAACCAATGCGATATGATGAATGTCCAAAAGATGGCTCCCACAGACTGTTTTTAAATAGGATTGTTTGATATTTTTTGCTTTTAAACTGTGTGTGTGTGTGTGTGTGTAAGAGATTTTGGTTGGGTGACAGTTGTAGTTTACAGTTTGACAAGAGTTTATAGCTTGACAAAAGCACAATGTTGTGTTTTATTGCAAGTGTACACAAATATAAGTAAACACTTTGCAGTTTGAATAATGTCCTGTATGAACAAAAGGACGGAGTATGTTTTTATGTCTACATTGTTCAATTACGCCACACACACACACACAAACACACACACACACACACACACACACACACACACACACACACACACACACACACACACACACACACACACACACAAACACTATTTTTCTAATCAGATCAGGCAAGTAATATTCTGTCTTGTCTCTTAAAAAAACAATATATATATATTTATGTATATATATATATATATATATATATATATATGTGTGTGTGTGTGTGTGTGTGTGTTTGTGTGTGTATATATATAAATATAGCTGCGAGCAGCGATGAAAGGGCCAAAGCCGGCGGCACCGCCACCCCGGTTATAGCGCCACCAACTGGCAGCAGGAAGTCTGTCACTTTCAAAAAGCTTTGAAATCACCTGATTGCTTCAAACTTCACTACTATGATGTAAACACACGGCAGATGTAGACCTGGATGTAGACCTGACCTTTCAGAAGGTTGCTCTCGCATACTTTGTGGTTGATATGTGCCCTCAATGCACACTTTTGCAGAGCCCACACTGATACAAGCTCTACAGCACACTTCTTTTCGACAGTCAAAGCAGGGTTACGTTTTTGCACGTCGTGCACAATAACCCTAAAGGCACCAGGGTGGCGGTGCCACCGGCTTTATATATATATATATATATATATATATATATATATATATATAAATAAATAAATATAGCTGCGAGCAGCGATGAAGGGCCAAAGCCGGTGGTACCGCCACCCCGGTGCCTTTAGGTAACTAAAGGCACCGGGGTTGCGGTGCCACCGGCTTGGGCCCGTAATCGCTGCTCGCAGCTATATTTTCTAGTTATTATTGTACATTTTATATCGTGCAAATAAACTAAACTAAATGCTTCAAATGGAAGCCTATGGAGAGACTGGACAGCACAACAACAAGTGTGTTCACACCGAACGCGAATTAAATTATTTGCGCGAGTAGATTACATAAAAAAGTCAATGCAAAGACGCGAATAGACACATCATTCGCGCCGGGCGTTGCGAATGACGCGAATTGGGCGACGCGTTTGCCGCGAACGTCTTCCGCGCAAGTTGAAAAATTTGAACTCGAGCGGAACATTCAAGCGTCTAACTAGACGCGATATACGCGTATATAACGCTCTATTCGCGTTCGGTGTGAACACACCATAAGGGTGATACAGTACAATTCCTATGTATGTGTAAGCTACTTTTTTTTGTGCTATACAAATGGCAAATAAAACTTTGAACTGACGTAACTAACTATCAATAAAGTACTTTTTGGCGGAGCAAACCTCCACCCACAGGAATGAAAGGATTAGTTTACTTCAAAATGAAAATTCTGTCATCATTTAATCACCCTCAAGTTGTTTCAAACCTGAATGAATTCTGCTGAACACAAAAAAATATATATTTTGAAGAATGTCGGTAACAGTTGATGGACCCCGACTTCCATAGTGATTTTTTTTCCTATTATGGAAGTCAATGGGGTCCATCAACTGTCTGGTCATCGACATTCTTCAAAATATCTTCCTTTGTGTTCAGCAGAAGAAAGAAATTCATCCAGGTTTGAAACAACTTGAGGGTGAGTAAATGATGAATTTTCATTGGGACATTCTAAAACGCTTAACGTGAAAAACGCTTAACGTGGCTTACTGCACTAAGACAGTGATATTAAAAGACCAAACTCAGTACACATCATATTAATAAACCATACTATGTATAAAATAATAAGATGAGTCCAAAATATGAACGCAACGCGTTTAATTACACGTTAAGCATTTTCTTCCCATAGAAAACCGTTATAAGAAAACGCTTAACGTGGCTTACTGTACTAAGACAGTGATATTAAAAGACCAAACTCAGTACACATCATATTAATAAACCATACTATGTATAAAAAAATAAGATGAATCCAAAATATGAACGCAACGCGTTTAATTACACGTTAAGCATTTTCTTCCCATAGAAAACCGTTATAAGAAAACGCTTAACGTGGCTTACTGTACTAATGTAACGTGGCTTACTGAGTTTGGTCTTTTAATATCACTGTCTTAGTACAGTAAGCCACGTTAAGCGTTTTCTTATAACGGTTTTCTATGGGAAGAAAATGCTTAACGTGAAATTAAACGCGTTGCGTTCATATTTTGGACTCATCTTATTTTTTTATACATAGTATGGTTTATTAATATGATGTGTACTGAGTTTGGTCTTTTAATATCACTGTCTTAGTGCAGTAAGCCACGTTAAGCGTTTTCTTATAACGGTTTTCTATGGGAAGAAAATGCTTAACGTGAAATTAAACGCGTTGCGTTCATATTTTGGACTCATCTTATTTTTTTATACATAGTATGGTTTATTAATATGATGTGTACTGAGTTTGGTCTTTTAATATCACTGTCTTAGTACAGTAAGCCACGTTAAGCGTTTTCTTATAACGGTTTTCTATGGGAAGAAAATGCTTAACGTGAAATTAAACGCGTTGCGTTCATATTTTGGACTCATCTTATTATTTTATACATAGTATGGTTTATTAATATGATGTGTACTGAGTTTGGTCTTTTAATATCACTGTCTTAGTACAGTAAGCCACGTTAAGCGTTTTCTTATAACGGTTTTCTATGGGAAGAAAATGCTTAACGTGAAATTAAACGCGTTGCGTTCATATTTTGGACTCATCTTATTTTTTTATACATAGTATGGTTTATTAATATGATGTGTACTGAGTTTGGTCTTTTAATATCACTGTCTTAGTGCAGTAAGCCACGTTAAGCGTTTTTCACGTTAAGCGTTTTAGAATGTCCCTTTTCATTATGAAGTGAACAATTCCTTTAAGTATGTAACGCATAATCAGAAATTCATCCACCTTGAAATTAAGTCTTACTTCAAACTGACTTGCCCCATAGACTTCTATTGTAAGTGCATTAGTTATTATAGTTAACTAAATTTAAAAGTAGAACAATAATTACTTGAAATAAAATAAACAGAATCTCAATGATACTAAAATAACACTGATTACATACACATATATATATATTTTTTTTTTTTTTTATTGTAGGACGAGTCAAAATTATTTTCTGATTAAATGGATGCCTCAACCATTAAACAAAAGCTTTATTTAACTGGTAATATTCCTTTAACAGAAGCATTGACTAAACACTACAGCTGTAGGGTGCATCCTCGGGCACTAGGGGACAGTATGCTATGGAGGAAACTCTTCATTCATACAGCCCATACTTACAAGACTCTTATAGGGGACCATGCCCTACCAAAACAAAGATAAACATCACTAAAACATCAGTCATTGGAAACAGATTGTTAGTCTGGCCCTATTAGCGAATATAAAAAAGAAGCGAAAGCATTGAGTAAGGAAAGGAGGAGGAAACCAACAGAGATAAAGCAGAAACGATACTGAAATGGCGGTGAAACGTACATATAAAGAGGCAAACCTGTGCGTGAACAAGCGCATCGTTGAACAGCATGAACCAGTTGACGGAAAAACGTCCCGCGTTCTGAAGAGTCAAAGCCTTATTACTGCTCTCACAGATCAGCCGACGGGATGGTTTACGGAGAGAGTCCTGCGAAAAGAGGAGAACTCTTAATTAATAGCCCAACTTCGTTGCAGGAAGAGCACCTGGCTGTCTGGTGTGCATGAAACTGACAGGTAAAGTGCTTCTAAGGGCCTGAGACAACAGCAAGGTGACTCACGGTCATCTTCCCGGGAAAGCTCTTCCAGAAGTGGAGCGTGCACTCGGCTTCCTTCCTCCTCCTCTTCAGATGAAGAGCCATGGATTCATACTTTGAGCAGGCATCCTGCAGCTTCTGATAATCCACAGAACTCTGCCACACAGAGACGGAAATTACATTTATGTAATGATAGTGTTTTGATCATACTGCAGCTCTGCCAGTAATGTTATTTTTGAATAGAATGAAAATTTTCATTACACACATATAATTATTATTATTTGTTTTTATTTATTTTTCAGGTTGGTTCAGTTTATCATTTGATAACAAAATTAGTAACCTGACCAATCTGAATAAGTAAAAAAAAAAAAAAAGAAGTAAAAAAAAAATATATATATAATATATATATATATATATATATGTATTTATTTAAAAATACATATTTATATAAATAATTGACACTACCGTTCAAAAGTTTGGGGTCGGTACGATTTTAAATACTTTTAAAAGAATTCTCTTCTGCTAACCATGGCTGCGCTTAATTGATTAAAAATACAACAAAAATCAGTTATAGGATTAAATATTATTCCAGTGTAAATCAGCTGTTTTCTGTGTGAATATATAGTAAAGTGTAATTTATTCCTGTGATCAAAGCTGAATTTTCAGCATCACCAGTGTCAGTGTCTTCAGTGTCAAATGATCCTTCACAAATCAGTATAATATGAGGATTTGATGCTCAAGAAACATTTATTATTATTATCAATGTTGAAACAGTTGTTGGTCTGTCAGTTGTACAGTTTTTTTTTTTTTTTTTTTAGGATTCTTTGATGAATAGGAAGTTCAAAAGAACAGCATTTGTTTGAAATAGAATCTTTTGTAACATTATAAATGTCTTTACTGTCCTTGATAAATAAAAGTATTGATTTCTTTCCTCCAAAAAATACAAATAAAATTCTCACTGACCCAAAACTTTTGAACGGTAGTGTACATATATTAGTGCTGTCAAATCGATTAATCGCATCTAACATAAAAGTTTGTTTACATAACATATGTATGTGTATATATATATTATGTCTTTGTGTGTGTGTGTGTGTGTATATATACTGTACATACACATGCATACTCATATTTATACATATTTATGACTATGTATATATACACATACAAGCATTGCACACATAGACATAATATGTTATGTAAACAAAAACATATGTTAGATGAGATTGATCGTGATGAGATTAATTACGATTACTCGATTTGACAGCACTAATATATATATATATATATTTTTAATCGATTTGACAGCACTAATATATATATATATATTTTTTTTTTTCTTATTCAGGTTTGATGGGTTTATCATTTTGTATGCGTTTTATGAAAATGTTTATATTAGGTGATATTTTAATTTTATTTGTGGTTAATTTCAGCCAAAAGTGGTATTTTCTCAGTTGTATTAGTTGTTTATGAAGACGAATCAGAGCTAGGGAAACATTACAATGTTAACGTTACAAACATTACCACATTATGGTTTCATGCTGTAACAATAAAACATAAAAAATGGATGTGAAATGAAAGTTTTCCAGTGTTTCCAGTAAGTACCCACCACCTCATAGCAGGTAGCCAGTTTTAGCAGCAGTCGTCCATATTCGTGCAGGTGCTTTATGGGCAGGTAAAAGAGATGTGGCAGAACATCCGCTAACGGCAAACCCTCTTCAGAACATTCAGACAACCTCTGAACAACCTCTGCCCCTTTGCCAAACACATCACTTCAAAACAGAGTCAAACAGACAGATTATTAATACAATGTTAATCTAAAATCAATCTGCAATCATGTTAACTTTAGAGTTTTGCAGCAAGTGCTTTGGAAAGCATTTGGGACAGGGCATTACACACACATATACCACTCACTGGCAAGGTTTGACAAGGGCTAGAAACCCTCCCATGACTAAGAGATCACCCACAGCAGAACAGTACCTGCATGAGACAATAAGAAAGATAAGGGCATTAGGGCAAGAAGGGTACAACATTTTTGAGCAATACATTCCCATGATTTTTACAATCATTTGTTATTATAGAATAATGACTGTATAGAGAGACTGCAGCCAGAAAGAGTAACTACAACATTTGGCGGTCAAAGCTGTTCGTGGGCAGCCAATGAAGACCATTGGCATTATGCAAATTTGTTACAAACCTACATACTGTAGGTTCGTGCAAGTAAGACTGGAATTACTGACGACACGTTTCAGGCAGTTCAGAATCGGTTCTTTTTTATTTTTGGGAACAATACTGCATGAAAGGTAATATCTTATATATAATAAGCATAATAGGGGCACTATCATTTCAGTTACTTAAAACATTTTTTTTTAATAAAATTCTCCAGGTTTTCCAGGACCTTACACACTCAAAACTTGGCCGCACTGGGAAAACCCCTCAACTACAGATATCCGATTCTGGATCAAATCTCTGACTCTTAAAAAATAATGACTTTCAAAGAAAATCGAAACTTATGATCATCTTGAACAACGTAAAGTTCCAACTGAGGTTCTGTCTGATTAAAGACATTTGAGGATTTTTTTTTTCAATTATACATCATGTTAGAAGTATTAAATATGTAAAGCTGGAATATATTTCGTTTTAATTAGAAGTTAATTCAGTAAAGCTCTGAAGAGAAAATAACTTGCTGAAAACATCCTGAAACTCAGAAACACAACAGATTTACAGTAATCCGATTTCAAGATACTGTGTTTATCTGTCAGACTGCACTCAACAGGTGTCTTGTGCTCTGGCTCTTTCCAGTGGCGAAACAAACTTCATGTTATGTCCTCATTAATGAGCATGGGGTAACGAACAACATTCAACCTCCTACTCCATCCGCTGAGGTAACCACTTCATGACTTCAGATTCTTTAATCGTGTGTGTGTGCTCTATACTTGCTCTGAATATGTGTCCAGGAACAGATGTGCGTCGTCAAGAATAACAAGACCTCGGATGTCACGCGAACGCCGCAGGAAAGAGGTTAGAGAGGCCGAGTTTTGACCCGTGAGCTGAGACAGGCGACTCAGTCGTCCAATCAGATTTTGCAGGAGCCCTGCAGTGGACTGACCGAGGCCGGAGCTTAGCGAATCTAAAAAATAAAAAAATAAAAAAACATAACGTAAGACCTAAAAATCCCAAATGATTATTCAGACACACAGGACAGACATTTCTTGTTTTGGGCTTTATTTCTAAAAAAAAATTAGCAACATTTCTTATAATTCTGAACACAAATTCTTACAGTTTTAAGTATAACTGCATAATAAAAAAATTTTTTTATAAAAAAAGGCTTACAGATAGCCATCTTTAAATATCTACACAAACACCATATTATATTATAGTATATAGGTGTTAGTTTAGCATCATTAATATACTACTATAGTTTTTGTTAATATTTTGAATTAGATTATATTTTTATATTTTCACTTTAATTTTAGTTCAAAATAATAGAAATGTTTTGTATATTTGTAATTTGTATTATATTGTCTATACCTAGACTATTTAATAATTGTTATTTATTAGTTTGAGTTATTTTAGTACTTCAACTTTAAATGAAAATGAGAAATTTTGCCTTGTTTTTTTCATTTCATTTAACATTGGTTTCATTTCAAGTAACACAATTTTTGTAGGACTTTAAATTTAGTTAAAAATAATAACCTTGTTGCATACATCAAGAGATTGTAAATTATTTCATTCATTTCACTTTCACTGAATTAGACACACACGCACACACACACACACACACACACTGTCATACCCAGTTTGAGCAATGGCTGGAGCAGAAGACTCTTGATATTGCAGAGTTTGCAGTAATATTTCCTCTCTGCAGCCGCCAGCTCATGCAGACTAGCAATAAAACCCATTACATTACGATCCGTCAGCGCCGCACATGTCCATCCACCTGCACTCACACTGCTTACATAGCCCAACTACCACACACACACACACACACACACACACACACACACACACACACACACACACACACACACACACACACACACACACACACACACACACAATAAAAAGAGACATAAGTTATGTAAATAACAGTGATAACACATCATCAATGTACAGAATTTAAAGCACATAAATCTGAGAATATAGTTTATTATATACAATAGCAATTCGAAGTGATAGTGATGATGATGATGATGATGATAATGATGACAAAGGCTTGCTCACATTCATACAAAAGGGCAGCAGCACTGGTTGCTGTGTGTACTCTCCGGTCTGCTCCTCCTCCTCCGTTTGCTCCGCCACTTCTTTCACCTGCTGCCCGCTGTAGTACAGGATTGGCTGCATACAGTCTCCATCAGCCAATAAGAGAGTGTGTTGTTGCCCCGCCCCGATATCCCACACGCGAATCCCATCTGACAGCTGCCCAAAGACAAAAGAGGACAAACAAAGCAAAAGAGAACAAACAAAGCAAACAAGTCATGAATCAGTATGTTGTCAATGTCAACACAAATTTGGGCACTAGCAAGGGCCTTAATCCACTAAACATTGGAACACTGATGACTTGATTCACTGTTACATGATTGTGTAATTGTGCATTAAACCATCATTGGTAATTCAATAACATCAGGAACAATATCCTATTGGTCTAAATGGTTTTGTTTATCATGCATCTTCCTTGTAGATGTTATATAATACAGTGGTCTCATGAAATATGTACTCATCCTTCATTTTAAACGGTTTAAGTGAACAGCTGATACTCACTTGTTTTTACAGTGCATTGTGGGAATAGTTAGGTATTTAATGTTAAAGTGCACTCTTGGCAGTGTTCTGACTACTGAATTAGGTAGCTGACCAAGACTCATTCAAACAAACTGCATACATGTGTACACTAGATGTCTAAAGACTCACATTGCTGAAAGGTGTGCGCGAGTGTCAAACGTTTCTAACCTTGTCATACTTTCAGGGCAATATTCCCACACACACAGACCACAAAAAAAGGGCTTTTTAAAACAATTTAAAAACAATTTAATAACTGAATGGTATACCCTCATTTAAGTAAATGTGTGTTGTTATATCAATACAATGTTATAGAAATGATATGAGAAATAAAATGTATGAAAAATTTTAATTAATAAAATTTACAAATGGTTATAGAAATAAAATAAAATATAATATCAATATATATATATATATATATATATATATATATATATATATATATATATATATATATATATAATATCAATATATATACTAACTACACTACCGTTCAAAAGTTTGGGGTCGGTAAGATTTTCCTATGCTCACCAAGGCTGTTTTTATTTGCTCCAAAATACAGTAAAAGCTGTAAAAATATAAAATATTATTAATTGATTGTAAAATGTAATTTATTCCTGTGATGGTAAAGCTGAATTTTCAGCAGCAATTTCTCTAGTCTTCAGTGTCACATGATCCTTCAGAAAGCATTCTAATATGATGATTTGCTGTTCAAGAAACATTTTATTATTACCACAGTTGAAAACAGTTGTGCTGTTTACTATTTTTGTGGGAACATGATTTTTTTTAATTCAGGATTCTTTGATGAATAGAAATATCAAAAGAACAGCATTTAGCTGAAAATTTATTTGATAAATATCTTTATTTTCAATTTTGATCAATTTAAGACAATGCATCCTTGTTGAATTAAAGTATTACTGTCTTTCACTTTTGAATGTTAGTGAAGAAAATATAGATTATAAATGGACAAATATTACCTTTTTAATGAGCACCTGCATAAAATTTCCAAACCTTTTGATCCATTTCAAAATGTTATTCTCCCTGTTGTGATATTTTTCTGTGTTATGTGCATGTGTGCATATACCTTGGCTAAGTGAGGGAAGCTGGTGGGTGATTCCATGTGTCCCAGCTGCCCAGAAGTGTTGCATCCCCAGGAGAACACCTGCCATACACACACATTACAGGAGGATTACACTAATACACACATACCGCTCAAGAGAAAAGCCACAGATATGCAGGTGAAGTGTGTCACCTGTGATTGGGCGGTCAGGGCGAGAGAGTGATGAGCACCTGCGGCCACTCTCAACACCTCTTTACCATTCAGACTCTTTACACAGACGGGCTGCAGTCTGGAAAGAAAGAGGGAGAGAAATCACTACATTAGGTTCCTCTGTGATGCATATAATGAGGCTGTCCTCATTTTGGCAGAGCACATTGAATTTAAAGCCCTGGACTCTTATGTAATTCATGAGTTGTTAGGGAATACTGGAGCTCTTCATGCCAACCCTGATGAAGGACTCTGACCTGGGAAGGAGGTCACCATGTCCAAGCTGGCCCTCCTGGCCTCGGCCCCAGCTCCACACTTCTGTCTGCAACGAAGGCAGGTGGGCATCGGCCTCAGGTATGCCTCCTGGAGTGAGCGGGATGGCCCGTGCACGGGGGCGGCTCGTTCGCCGCAAAAGACGAGGAGACACTGAGAGAGTAGGAACGAGAGAGAGAGAATAAACAACAGAACATATTCAAAGAAATTTGGAACATCAATATACAGGGCCCTATCATACACCCGGCGCAATGCAGTGTTTTTTGCTAGTTTCAGCCCGACGCAGTTATCATTTTCACGTCCTGCGCCACGTAGTTTAATAGCAAATGCATTTGCGCCCATGGGCGTGCTGGTCTGAAAACGAGGTGCGTTCAGGCGCAATGTTGGCACGTTGCTATTTTGAGGCAACTGAAATAGACTGCGCCATTGACCAACAAAAACCTGGTCTAAAGTCAAAAGGCGCAATATTTTTTTGTTATTTAAAAAGCGCATTAGTAATGTGCGCCTATAGGCAGGTCCTCGAGCGTACACTCTGCTTATTACACACACAGGGACGCGCAGCAGCACACAAACATGCCAAATATTAAAAATAAAAAAAATTACAATGTAAAAAATGTTTATTGTGTACATAAAGATATGGTGGAATCTGGCCCGATGATCTGCTTGTGCACGTTTCCTCGCTAGAGAAGCGTTCAGTCTTTCCGCTTGCAAATTCCACCATGTAAATAGCGAATCCGCCATGGCGCGAGCACAACTGGCTTAAAGGGAATGGGAAATGACTCTACTCTCTTGCACGTTACACACAAAACACACCCATTACTCATTAAGAAAATAGGGACAACCGTTTTGGACCATGCGTCGAGCGCGCCGACCATTTTTCCCGTCGTTAAACTAGCAAAAGTGGATTCGAACTCGCCCTAAGTGCACTTGAGCCGTGTGCTTTAGACCATGAGCTTAGATCATTAAAATAGGGCCCTTAGAGGCAGAACACAGTCCACATCCAAACAAAGACAGATCATAAGAAAATCCAACTCATGTCAGATTGTTCCTCATAGAATATGCATTAGTTTGATTCTGCTATATGAACACAAACAAAGAGCATAGGGAAAATTCCCATGATTTATTTAACAGACAGACTAAGACCCACAGACTCGGCCAACTTCAGCTTAACTCTCTGTAAAACACACTCATATATACACGGTATGGCCAGGTGCACACACAAATAAACACACACAGACTGCTGTCATGCTGAGTTATGTTCCAGCCCCACTGGGGTCCATCTGTCACGCAGGAGGGGGCGAGGAGACGAGAAAAGGTGTGTATGTAGCAGGTAGCTGGACGCCATTGTCTTCTCTAGCCTGCGTATCATTTATAAACTCAAACAAACACACAACCAGGCTGAGGTACACTATTAAAAATAAAGGCTCTTTACTGGCATCGATGGTTCGCTGAAGAACCATGAACATTCATTTTCATTGTATAAAAGGTTCTTTACAGAGGAAAAGGGTTCTTTAGATTCTAAGAAGAAAAAGTTTCTGGAAAATGGAACTGTTCACTGAAAGGTTCTTTGGCGAAACCAAAATGGTTCTTCCCTCTTTTAGAAACTTAATTTTTAAGAGTGTGTCCTGGAGCCTCATTAGCAGATTGGTCCAAAATAAATTCTCATATCACAATCTTTAACTGTGTAAGTGTAAATCACTTTAAAAACATGCAAAGCACTAGAGCAGAAAGTTTCTGACATCTCTGGGAAGTTTTGATTACATAAATTAAAAGGGGGATTTATTAATGCATTTACAACCTGCTTGTTACTAAAAATCAGAAGGTCTACTTCTCGCTAAATTGAATCGCACAAAGTGTCAACAACATGACTTGGTCAAATTTCTCCCTAAACACAAGTATAAAAAATAAATTATATTTTAATTAAAACAATGAAGCAAGAATTTTCTGCATTATGCCATTTTTCTGAAAATTATGCACATTTTCACCCAAATTTAATTACTAATTAAAAAAAAAAAAAAATTGTCTTTAAACATATGCACTACGGTTCAAAAGTGTGGGGTCTGTAAGATTATTTATTGTTTTTAAAAGATGTCTTTATGCTGCTCACCGAACCTGCATTTATTTGCTTAAAATTCAAATAAAAAAATACAAATTACAATAACTGCTTTCTATTTTAATATGTTTTGAAATGTAATTTATTCCTCTGATGCAAAGCTGAATTTTCAGCATCATTACTCCAGTCTTCAGTGTCACATGATCCTTCAGAAATCATTCAAATATGCTGATTTGGTGAAACATTTTTGGTGAAAACAGTTGCACTTCTTAATGTTTTGGAGTTGTAATCTCTTTTTAATTTCAAGAAATTATTATACTGCCCTTTAATTTACTCTGTAGTCTGATTTCAATAAAAATAAACTTTGTGTTGAAGTATTTTTTAATTTCTATATTTGTAATTCCTATAGAATCTAATGAGAATAACTAAAGAAAATGAGAATTACAAAAACTGTCAAAAAAAAAAAAAACTAAAGTGATGTCAAATCTCTAGACGCATTACAGTAAAATGAATTTGGGTGTAAAATGTGCTTGATTAAATGTCATGAAAATGATTATAATCATAATGCAAATAGTTTTTATGCAAAATAAATGGAAAAAAAATGTCCTTTTCATTTTAAGCTAAAATTTGTTTCCGTGAGATTCACTAATAAATCTACTTCTAATCTAAACATTACGCTTTGTACAACTGCAACTACACATAAATACCTTCAGATGTTGTGTAGGATGCCCACACCGTCACCTCAAATGCTGCATTTTCTGTAACGATGGCAACAGCAATATATGGAAAACCTGTCCACAAGTGCCGTCGGTAGAAATTTGAAGGCAAAAAAAGCCATGCCATTAACAAACACATTACAGTACGCATAAGTTGCCCAATCTGTGATTTGGAGGGTTTTACTTTGAACTGAACGAACTAAGCCTTAACATACTGCACAGGATTAAGATTAAACATATTCAACTAATAAAAGAATACATTAGCAATCCTCCCTCTGGTTCACATGGGTCTAAAGAGAGGTACAGTCTCGTTACGCCCTCTGCACTCAGATGATTATAAAACCAGACCATTTTCTTTAAATATTTATGAAATTTGTTACGAAAAGGAATGGAGTTGTTAGTTATTCATAGCCTCTGCAGCAGAAAAGCCAAGCGTGCTGACGGAATAGCAAAATTCCGTAAGATTCTCGACAACTAGTCCATGCTCATGAAAACTCAAGCGTAGACACACATCCCCACACAGACTTACGGAGACGGTACACTGGGTGTAAGAGAAGGAGAGCGTGTGTACCCTGAGAGAGCAGGCCAGGCAGGGACAGGCGACGGCTAAGCTCCGCCTCCTCCTCTCGGATGTCCCCCAGGCTGGAGCTTTTCTTCCCCTGCATGGGCTCCTCCAGACGGAGTCTCTCCTCCACTCGCTCACGGCCCTCTCCTGGAGCCTGGAGCACAACAACTCTGGTCAAACACATCATTAGGGGTGTAACGGTACACAAACATGACGGTTCGGTAAGAACTTCAGTATTGAAGTATTCGATATTCGGTACAGCAGGGGTATTCGGTACAACAGCGGTATTCAGTACAGCACTCAAATGAAAAAAACATGTACATTTCACATGAGGCAGGTTGTGCATTAACTTCTCCAATTCATTATTGAAATATAATCATTTACACAGTTACAGTCATAACTTGTTTTTATAACAAATGTATTTAAACATATATTAAAATAATTAAGACATTACTAATGGGTAAAGTAAATATAATGAATATATAAGCTAATATAGTGCATATATCTAGTGAAATTCTCCCCTCTAGAGATCATTTCTCTAGTAGTGAACTAACATAGTTCAGTTAGTTCACTAGAGAAACGAAGACACTATATGACTTGCCTGAGGTAAATTTAATGCTACGCGAGATATTCTCAAGCTGTTTTATTGATGCCTTTCTGTGTTTGAAACAAGATTACAAGTAAACATATCTATGCAGAGATCATCTGTTCTCCTTCTTCTGTGCTTTTTCCTGTTGTGGTGGTTAGCAAACGGCGTTGCATTACCGTGCGCGTCCCTTCTGGATTGGAGTGTGGATTGCCTGTGACTGACTGTATTCGTCATCTGACTGTATGAACCGAACCGAATACATGTAGCCTACTGTAACTGTTACACCCCTAATCATCATCCTTCAGTTTCTTTCCAATAAAAGTGCCAAGTATGAAAATGACATAATTATTTAGAAAATGTATTGGTTTAATGTTTAAAGAGCGTGATTCTGGCATGTCAATGTAATGAACATTTAACATAAAATACACACTGGAAAATACACTTACCCAGTAACCAATGACTTTTCTCAGAGAGAGAGCTTCATATGTGGACACTACACGTTCCCCCACTGCAGAGGCACAGGACACCACCAAGTTGTTCAACGCAGAGCCCATTGGAGTCACAGACTGGGCGACCGGGATTAAGGGGTCAGAGGTGAAAGGATCAGCAGGGTCACTGGAGAGCTGTGATAGGACAGATATGAGCTGGACATGAGAGTTCTGAATTGCACATTTAGAAGAAATTGAACAGTTTGAATTACGATGGCTTGGGATGGTCGACTTGTTGGACAGGGATGGTCAGCTAGTATAACTAAATAAACTTAATTAATTTAATATTTGTTAAAAGGGAAGTTGTCAACTTCTCGGGGGGTTTAGCATGTTGACGAACTAACAGTTAAAATGACAAATTCTGTTCAAATCATTTACTCACCCCCATGTCATTCCAAACCTATATGACCATTTATTGGTAACCAAACAGTTTTAGTGACCACTGACTTCCATTGTATGGACAAAAAACACCGAGACATTTCTCACAGAAGATAGAAAGTCATACATTTTTGGAATGACATGTGGATGAGTAAATTATACATTTAAATTTTTGGGCCAACTATCCCTTTGACCATTTATAGTAGATCTGGATATAGAGATATAGACATGTAGTTGTACATGTACATTTCCATTTATTTTCATATTACCATTTAGATTACTTCTCCCTGACTTAAAGTTATTTTTTTTTAATTATAATTTAATAATACTGTTAAAAGTAATCTTCAACATAATCTCCATTTTTTTATACTGTACAATATATTATAATGTTGTAAAGCCCAAACTCACTTCTAAAATTTACAATTACCTATTTTAGTTTTTGGTGTTTATTTTTAACTAATTTAGACAAAATAGTATAACCAGTTATCAGTTATCAGTATCAGCTAGAATTTTAATACTGGTGCATTTACCCTATGCATTCTGTACAGCGAGCTAACTGCTATTTTCAAAATTATCTCACCATTTTAAGTGAAAAAGTTAATAAAATGTATGTAGAGAAATCCAACTAGGAGTGTTCATTTATCAACTTAATGTTTACTGGGCTTTAGGTACGTTTACATGTACTAGTCCAATCCGATTTCATATTCTGAATGTTCTGCTTATATAAACCCTAAACTTTTCAATGTGATTCACAGACCTGGAAAAAGCCACCGATATAATGTCACCAGAACCATGATATAATGCCTTGATTATCCCTAAAAGGAAAGCTGAAAATATGACAGAAGAGCTTTTTTTAGAAAAAAATGAGCAAATATTTAGTCTCCTCCACTGACCAGTTCATAACATGTTAATAAACATATGCAATTTCATACGAAGTAAAATGTATATAAATAGAGATCTTATTAAATAAAAGGACTATGGTCAACATACGCATCAAGCACTGCCTATGTGTGCGAGGTATTTTTAAATCTGATTGAGAAGAGTCCTATTCAAGGGTTTTATGATTAGCTTTTCCTAGTAATCAAATTATATCAGGTCTACACCACCCTTTTCGCTCCGATCGAGCTTTATCAGACCAATTAAGTTGTTTATATGAAGTATTTTCAAACCGATTGAGCCAACTAATGGATTATTTGGATGCATGTAAACGTAGCTACTGTTGTGCCAGAGACTAACCTGAGCAGAATGAAGTGTGCTGGGGGTCTTGGCGACGTGCTCTGCCAGGGCATGATCAGAAAGTCTTTTAAGATAGGCCTTCACAGCCTGCTCATCGGGGAATGGGGAGTACTTCCCCCCTGTGGCACGACAGCTGTCCGGCTCAAGGGTGCAGGACTCGGAGGCTTCCACACAAACCTCTTCATTTGCGACCGGAGCTTCATGTTCATTCGAGACTTCTATGGTTGGTTCTACAGGTTCTTGGCTAGACGCAGAAACCTGAATTTGGGGTTCAGAGGCAGGTGTGCTGTCAGGAAGAAGGGTAGATTCAGGGGTTGTGCTGGAGGTGGGTGATCTTGGAATCTGGGTGGATATGGATGGAACAGGTTCTGTAGGAGAGCTCTTGCCTTGTTTAACCTGTTCTGGGCTGCCCTCTAATGCAGACTTGGTCTCGCTGCTGTCAAGCTCAACACCTAGTGGACAGTGATGGCCATCAGAGATGATCACGTGGTCCTCTTTGTCAGTCATAGTGTACAGCAGCTGATGGCACTGACCGCACTTGTCTTGAGGGGGTTTTCGAGGCACCAGAGCCTCAGAACTTCGCACCACAGCCAGGCTGTGAGCGGCTCCACAGGCCACCTGCAACACGTGCCTTCCCGCCAGGGGCTCTACCTTCTGGGGCTTCCAGACAGGAAACGTGGAAGTGTTCAGGCCCAGCTGGCACCCGCTTCCCCAAGCCCAGACTTCATGCTTGGCTGAAAGAGCGAGAGTGTGCTGGTCCCCACATGCCACCTCCAGGATCTTCACCGTCTGAGGGGGTGTGGACTCAGAGTCGAGCACGCCCACAGGGGTGGGGTTAGGGATAACAGAGAGTCCCAAAAGGCCACACTGGCCATGAGCGTTTTCTCCCCACATGTGCACGCCTCCATCCTCCGTTACTACTCCACTGTGGGCGGAGCCAGCAGCCACAAAAACAACATGTTGTTCGCTAAGCACTGCCTCCAAAACGGGCTCAGTCACTACTGATGATGTTTGGTTCTGTTTCCAAGGCAACTCACCAAAACTGTAGACTTGTCCCCCTAAATATAGTATAGAAATGATTACATATCTGGATATGCAAAATCATTGCAAAATGTATGAGAAGCAATAGTTTATTCTTTTCACAAGCATCTGTTTAAAGCAGTGGTTCTCATCCAAGGGGCTGGTGCCAACTAGGGGACCACAGTACACTTCCAACAAGGTAGCCACAGGATGACTTAGATTATTTCAAAATAATTCATTGAAAACTTTTTACTTAAAGTACTTTCCCTCTCAATAACGATAGTTTTTATTCAGGAATGAACTATTTGTAAAACTTATGGAATCACAAAGTGTTAATCAGGTCGTGGAGGCTCACATTCACCCTCGAGAATACCTCAATGTATCCAAATGGTAATGATCTCTTTTCAAATTATTAATTATTTTTCCATTTTAGGATAGTTCACCCAAATGTAAAATGCAAACCTGTAGGACTTTCTGTTGTGGAACCCATACAACGAAAGTCAGTGGGGTCTAAAACAATACTGGACACCAATAGCTTTCATTGCATGGACAAACAGACATTTTTCAGAATATCTTTTGTGTTCCATAGAAGAAACAAAGGTTTGGGACTGACATTAGGGTGAGTAAATAATGACAGTATTTAAATTTTTGGAAGACCTATCCCGTTAAATTACTGTGCAAACATAACCAAGACCTCTCACGACTTTTAAACGCAGATGTTATTATATTTTGATAAAAGAGATGACTTGCACACATTTAGCATGACATAAATAGCATCATAAATAGTGTTAATTTGACAATGATTTGAAACAAAAAGCTCATCAAATATTAGTCTTTGCATCTATTCTACAGTGTTTCCCAGCCAAATTTGCATGTACATCTATGCCTCGTTCGCGTGTGAATTATAAATGTATTACCCTCTACTAGCAGAACACCATGTCTAGCTCCCAGGGCAGCCTGGAGCACGGGCCGGGAGAGCAGCACCCTCTCTGGTGTGGTGCTGTAGGAATATCCCCTCCACGTGTGGAGCAAACCCCTCTCCCCAGAACCGTCCTCCTCACCAGAACTACAAACACAGTCATGCACACACTCTTAGAGAAGTCATGAGACAAGAAACAAACACTAAGAAGTATACAAACACTGCTTTGTTTAACCCTGCTGGCAGTCTGTCTTTGAACGCACTCACCTTATCTGCTTCTCCATCTCTAAACGTTCCCCATGTCACGGCTGTTGCGTTTGTCACCGTAGATGATTGTCCTGTGAGAGAACGGGTGACAAATGATTTCAGATGCTGAATGACAACAAAAGGTTTGACAACAACTTGTTTGTTTAAAACGGTCACCCCACAACCCATTGAACATAGGTTGTAATTCATGAATGCTTTGAAATACAGACCTTTTAGAGATTATTACAGGGAAAGTGAAAGCAGCTACAAAAATGAAAGTGTAAAAAAGTTATAGGTTAAAGTTTATGTTTAAGCATATGTTCTGAATTAAACATTTTTATTCTATTCAAAATATATATTTTACAAAATAATTCTGACTCTAATTCTAGTTATGTTCCAAATTTAAATTTGATGTCACGAAAAAGGAGCTCGCTAAAATATTTTAAAGTACCATTTTCATAATAATGCAATGTCCAATTTCAAAACGGTTTTCACGGGATTAATTTTGAGTGTGTGAGTGAATTTTTAACCTTTCGAATGATAATTTGTGATTATTACTAAAATAAGTAATGATATTAAAACTAATTTTCCTGAGATGTTTTCAATGCTTCATTGAACTACAGTCACGAGAGTGACCTAATTCTGAAGAATATAATATAATAAATCTAGATTAGACTTAGATTAGATTGTGTAAAGCAAAGACTCTTGGCTCTAGACTAACTGTGTAAACACATGTGTACACACACCGATCAGGGACAAAGGTGACAGAGTTGTGATGAAATCATCAGCTGAATTGACAAAAACACAACAACAGATCTGGGGTACTGTCTAATAAATATACATTTTCTTATAATGAATATTAACAACTCCTATTCTGAGTTCTTCATTAAAGCACAAGCTGTCAAGCAGGTTAAGATGGTCATGAAAAAATGACATGAAATAGAGCAATAAGAAAACTCATTAAGATTCGCTTATCAGATACAATATTCTAATTGATAACAATGATCCATATGATAATGTCTAATATGAAACTAGATATGTCTAATGACACCAAAGCTCAACAAATTTAAAGAAACAGCGTCGACAGGTGGGGATCATGTTAAATAACTGATGAGTGGAAGATCGTTACACCACTGTAAAGTCATAAATACAATGCAGTCCCTTGAAGACAGAAACATTCATAATCTCCATATTCGCTCCTTTAATATCAATCTGATATACATTATGCTTCGTTCATTCTTACCTCAATATGTCCGAAGCGAATGATTCTTGGTTTAAAATATCTTGTCAGCTTTTTAAAACGCTTGATCAGAGATGCAACGTTAGTATAACCGGTAAAGAAAGTAACGTTAGCAGACAGATAGCAGAGCGAAGCTCATGATGATGATATTAATCGGGTGTGTTGCGGTGTGTTGTTGTGGTTGTTGTGAGCGCTTCAATGCACGGAGAAGCAGGAGGGACAAACCAGATGGAGTATTTACGCTTTCGCTTTTTCTACTCGGGCAGGTAGAGGATGAGAGGTGAGTTGGTTGCTTCACTTGAAATGCTCAGCCTCAGCTGGTAAGCTAAAGATATTATTTGATAAATCTATGGAAACGTTAGATTATTAATAATATATGGATTAATATTGCTCTTGCAGTTGTCTTCTTGCACTTGCGCTATATATTTTTTTACGTAGACTATTTTTCTTAAAGGGATAGTTCAACCAAACGTGAAATGTATGTCATTAATTTCCCACCCTCATGTTGTTCCAAACCCTTGAGACTTTAATTTATCTTCGAAACACAAATTAACATCTTTTTGATGAAATCTGAGAGTTTTCTGTCCCTCCTTTGAGTCTGGGCGACAATATTTTACATTTTGCAACTATGTCAACAAATAAAGCAGCTGAGATTTGCTATAGGTATAGTATTTTTGTATATTTGTTTTGCTATTGTATATTTATTTAGCTTATTTGCTCGGTTTATTTTTCTGGAGATGAGAGGAATTTTAAACAAACATTTGTTTTTCTCTGATCCTCCAGACTCTCTTTTTCTCACACACTCATTCGGCACACACTTACATACACCCTCTGGGTTTTTTTTTAGATGCACCAGCCTTTCAAAACAAACCAGCAATCCCTTGCCTCTCTTTAATTTTCAGCCAATTGGATGGTGGTTTGCAGAAGAATTCTGATTGGCCTGTGACCACACAAGCGGCAGTGGCAACTGCAGGAGGCAGGAGAGCAACAGAGAGATAGAGAGAGGGGGGGTACAAGAAGACAGGAGGAGAGGAGCTCTCAGAGTAAACGTAGGAGGACAGAGAAGGGAACTTGTGTCAGCGTGGGTGCTGTCTGCCACAAGCTGCCTAAAGCAAGAGGATGACATGCTGGATAAAGGGACAGTGATGAGGTCCAGTACCACACTCAAAATGTATGGGTCACAGTGAGAGCCTCCCGTCGTATCAGCAGTTCCATCAAGGTCCAGCAGAAGAAGCAGACAGCATGCAGAACCTCCGGCATGCAGCTTCTGAGGCTTTCCAGCGTCTCGGTAAGTGCATTTCACCTCTATCTAAGAATATACAAACAGTATCGAAGTCTGTCCTTGATAGTGTTGATGATGTCTCATCACATGTTGGAAAGAGGAATAGTGCAATAAACCTAATTCATCCCCAGCATCTCAGCTACACATTGAAACTGTAAATAACTTGATTCATGATCTGCTTGTAGTTACATTTGCATTCTCGTTTGTGCCAAAAATAGTAAAGGGTCCAATTCCAATTATGGTCACAACTTTATTTTTTTCAGGGTCATTATTGATGCATCCTTGACCTACCAATTTAATATGTAGAAGGAAAAATATTGATTATTGATTAATACCTTGATTATAAAGGATAGATATACATTAAAGCACCAGTGGATTCCGGAATTGGACCCTTCAATAGCATAATTAGTTCATTTCAGAATGCATTCTTTGTATTTGTGCCGTATTTCTTGTATCAGTTGTATCCAATTGAATACACACTGTTGGTTAAGCCGCCTTTCCACAGTAAATTTAAGATACTAGCCCCTTTTACTCATAAATAGATTACAGCTCCTGAAATCTATTTACATATCCAAAAGAAACTATACCCTCCTTAATAAAACAGTTTAAACCAGTCTAAGGTGGTCTGAGCTGGTTTAGTTGGTATCCCAGTTTGGCCAGTTGACTAATGTCCTGTAGAACCCAGAGTTATTATCGTTAATTCAAACTAAAACTATGAAAAACATTTTTAGTACTTAAAATAAAGCTGCAAATAAAATAAAATCGAATAATTAGATGAAAATCTTTAACTAAATTAAAAAACAAATGTTGCCTAGGCGACTAACTGAAATAAATTTTAAGAACGAAACAGAAGTTGCGAAGTCTTTTCTTCCTTATTGTGGCGTATATCCGAGTGAAAAGGCTTCTCGAACAAGAAAAAATGTAGTGGGAACTTTTGTCCATCGGGAGTTGATTGGATCATTGTTGTTTGCTATTGGTCGATCTCGTGTGAGTGACAGGTTGTCCCGCCCTTGCGCCATTAAAGTGTCAAGTTATTTCGATTAAGGATTAAGAGAACAAATGAATAAAATAAAATAAAAATCATTTATAATAAAATTAAATACTGCAATATTTTATACAAAAAAAACAAAGAATTGTCCATTTTGATTTCATTGTGACTAAAACTGATGTAAAAATAAATTCAACCTAAATAGTAATGTTAAAAAAGTATAAAAATGTCAAAAGAATGTAACAAAAAACAAAAAAATAAAATAAATATAGGAAATAAAAAAATAAACTTTTAATGGAAAAAAACCTGAAATATGAAAATTAAAGGTTCTCTAAGCGATCCTGGGTGACGTCACTTCTTGTTGACGTTCGAACTATTGTCAAACAAAACGGAGGCTAGCTAGACCCTCCCTCCTCCTCATCCGCACACTAACCCCCCAAACCACACCCCCAAACCCTTCTTGTCGGTCATTGGCTGGAATAGTTTATTATGTTTCAGGGAGCGGGTCGCTGCAGTTTGCTTTTGTTGCTGTTTGTGGAGCCTGGGCTGTCTACAGAGATCGCATTTCTTTACAGTGTGTTCAGGGGACAGGCAGCCAGCGGTTAGTGAGGAGATGTTTGCTGTATGTGACAAAAAATTTTTTGCCCTAAAAAACGCGTGACATCGCTTAGAGCACCTTTAAAATGCTAATTCAAAATATTAATAAAAACTATAATAGTATATAAATCAAATCAAATAATGATCTATGATGTTTTTTCAGAACTTTCAACCATAACAGAGGAAGCCAATAGATTGTTGTGGCTATGGCTAAGCACGTGTCATGTCGATGTGCACTGGAAGACAAATAGCCCAAGCGTGCTTGTAGCAGAACAGAGAGGGTTCTGCTTGACCTGTGGATACAAGACAGAATGACCTACACAGTCGAGAGATATTATCCGTGCTTAACTGTATGGCAGAAGTGTGATTTTGCTGTGATGGAGGAGGGAAGGGAAGGTTCCTGTAGGTGAGAGAAAAACAGCCTGTAACAGCATCTGTGTCTGTCTCTTGAGAGGCAGGAGGGCTGAGAGTTAAGAAAACTGTGTGTTATATGTGAAAAAAGCAGCTCAAATGAAAGGTATTGACTTTAAATAAATCGCACTAGTGGTAAATCTGTCGCTGGTTATTTCTGGACATGAATTTAAGCACACTTCCTCACCATGTAATAAAGTAGCCTATTACTCTCCTGTGAACAGCCAGCATATCTGCATTTTTCTCAGAACTGCCAGTTTGTCTGCATTTCTTGGGCTGACCAATCTAAAAATCACTTTCTTTGTGATTATTTTCCAGAATTTTGTTCTTTTTTTCGAAGTTGGTTTATCTGGGTTAAGGACCTCATTAAATGTCTTGATGAGTTGTGTTAACATATTTCCTATTGAAGAAAAACTCACAGGTTTCATAATCATCAGTATCACCAGATAACAAATTAATAACTTGTATTCATTAGAAATTAATAATTAATAATGAATTTTACAATTACTTTAAGTATTTCCAACCTTACCTGGATATATACAGTACACATGTTAAGCAGTAGCATATATAGCAAATATCAACAGCTTGATTGTTAAAAAATGTAAACTATATTATCGCCTAGTGAAATGAAAATGTGGATAGATAATACATCCTACTTTGATATATACACTCACCTAAAGGATTATTAAGAACACCTGTTCAATTTCTCATTAATGCAATTATCTAATCAACCAATCACATGGCAGTTGCTTCAATGCATTTAGGGGTGTGGTCCTGGTCAAGACAATCTCCTGAACTCCAAACTGAATGTCAGAATGGGAAAGAAAGGTGATTTAAGCAATTTTGAGCGTGGCATGGTTGTTGGTGCCAGACGGGCCGGTCTGAGTATTTCACAATCTGCTCAGTTACTGGGATTTTCACGCACAACCATTTCTAGGGTTTACAAAGAATGGTGTGAAAAGGGAAAAACATCCAGTATGCGGCAGTCCTGTGGGCGAAAATGCCTTGTTGATGCTAGAGGTCAGAGGAGAATGGGCCGACTGATTCAAGCTGATAGAAGAGCAACTTTGACTGAAATAACCACTCGTTACAACCGACGTATGCAGCAAAGCATTTGTGAAGCCACAACACGCACAACCTTGAGGCGGATGGGCTACAACAGCAGAAGACCCCACCGGGTACCACTCATCTCCACTACAAATAGGAAAAAGAGGCTACAATTTGCAAGAGCTCACCAAAATTGGACAGTTGAAGACTGGAAAAATGTTGCCTAGTCTGATGAGTCTCGATTTCTGTTGAAACATTCAGATGGTAGAGTCAGAATTTGGCGTAAACAGAATGAGAACATGGATCCATCATGCCTTGTTACCACTGTGCAGGCTGGTGGTGGTGGTGTAATGGTGTGGGGGATGTTTTCTTGGCACACTTTAGGCCCCTTAGTGCCAATTGGGCATCGTTTAAATGCCACGGCCTACCTGAGCATTGTTTCTGACCATGTCCATCCCTTTATGTACCCATCCTCTGATGGCTACTTCCAGCAGGATAATGCACCTTGTCACAAAGCTCGAATCATTTCAGACTGGTTTCTTGAACATGACAATGAGTTCACTGTACTAAAATGGCCCCCACAGTCACCAGATCTCAACCCAATAGAGCATCTTTGGGATGTGGTGGAATGGGAGCTTCGTGCCCTGGATGTGCATCCCACAAATCTCCATCAACTGCAAGATGCTGTCCTATCAATATGGGCCAACATTTCTAAAGAATGCTTTCAGCACCTTGTTGAATCAATGCCACGTAGAATTAAGGCAGTTCTGAAGGCAAAAGGGGGTCAAACACAGTATTAGTATGGTGTTCCTAATAATCCTTTAGGTGAGTGTATTTCATCCAACTTTATCTGCATATATACATTACACTCACGTAAAGCGATGTATTCTATAATAGTATATAGCAAATCTCAACTACCTGATTTTTTTTTTGTCACAAAATGTAACTATATTATCACCCAGCTCTTTACATAAAGTTGGATAAATAAGTATGTGTAACTTTATCCATATACATACTTGCGTAGCACGATAAATACACAGCACATCTCAACGGCTTCATTGCTTGTATTGTCGCAAAATCTAAACTATATTATAACCCAGCTCTAATCTGTTTAATGCAACTATAAAGCATGAAGAAATTAAATTATTATTAGGGCCCAAGCCCAAAGGGCGAAGGCCCTATTGTTTTCCTTAGGATTATTAGGGCCCAAGCCTTGAAAAGGCGAAGGCCCTATTGTTTTCCTTAGGATTATTAGGGCCCAAGCCTTGAAAAGGCGAAGGCCCTATTGTTTTCCTTAGGATTATTAGGGCCCAAGCCCAAAGGGCGAAGGCCCTATTGTTTTCCTTAGGATTATTTATTATTATTATTAGGGCCCAAGCCTTGAAAAGGCGAAGGCCCTATTGTTTTCCTTAGGATTATTAGGGCCCAAGCCCAAAGGGCGAAGGCCCTATTGTTTTCCTTAGGATTATTTATTATTATTATTATTATTATTATTATTATTATTATTATTATTATTTTTCTGCTACCTTTTGGACACTTTTGGAGGCCTTAACATGCTCAAAAACTCCTGAAACTTTGCACACATGTCAGAACCCGCGGCCATCAGGGCCGGGCTGAAGATGGTACCCGGGCGTGGCAGGGGGGCTCGACAGCGCCCCCTGGAACAGGGTCCGAAAACATGGTCCATAAATCAAACACGCTTGCATGTAATAATATGAAACTCGGTACACATGTAGATCTCCTCGTTTCATATATACTTCACACTCTTACTTTTTACCCCAGCCCAACAGGAAGTCGGCTATTTAGGGTTGTTGGTAAAACACACGCAATGGAATGTGAAATACTCCTCCTAGAGAATTCAAACAAACGGCACGAAACTCGGTCAGCATGAAGTCAAGACATTGAGGATGAAAGTTTGCGAGGGGATTTTTGATATCTCGAACGGTTTGGCCGTGGCGAGGAA